CAACTGTTAAAATGATCTGTTTAACACATGATGATTCATCATTTAAGTAGACAATCTTTGGATTTACCGACATTTGGACCACTTCTTCTGTGAGGCGTCATTCATCATGTTATCTTACTGTGTCAGAACCGTCCAATCAAGGCCTCTGTCCATACTGAAAACCTCAGAGTACAGTCCAACGCTGGCCCTGCAACGCACCAGAGGACGCTGCAGTGCATCACCGAGTCAGGATTTGGATCAGGTCAGGGCTCTGCTGCAGCTCTGTGTGGACAGATACTATATTTCACCTGGTCAGACTAACGTAGAGCTGTTTCAGCGGGGGGTGAGCTGCAGTTATGGACCTCTGGGCATGGAGCTGAGAAGAAACCTGCTGGAGCAGTGGTGGCACTCTGTGACCAGGTGTACGGCTCAGGTGTTTGGCATAAACACTCTGAGCAGCAGCAGGGGCGCAGCAGCAGATGGATGGGGACACCTGAGGATTGTTGAGTCTGAAAATTTAAAACAAATTCTTGAATGGCAAGAACTGAGCAAGGAGCAGCTCATCCAGAAGGTGCAGACACTCCTTCAGAAGTCCCCATCAGTGAGAGGAAACTTCCTTCAAGGTAGAGCGCTAACATATTCCAGACAGACTCAAAGTTTGATAGTTATTATTGGTATGATTTTATATTAGTATATGCTGTGTACTGATTATTTATAGCAAGGTGATGGCAAGATAGACCATCCTTGGCCCAGCAAACCATAGCAGTGCTTCAGTGAAATGACACTGAGCAAATCCTTTTCAGCTCTGCAGAATACTGGAGTGATAACTGGTAGTTTAAAAGGACTTTCTTGGCCTTGGTTGAGCCCAGTACAAGTCAACCATTCAAATATTAGGTTTAGATTTACAGTCATGGTCGTTATGGTTAGGATTTGTACCCATCCTCAGAGGAAGGCGTGAAAGTCCTCCCCATCCTGTGGTGGAAAAAATAAATATTAGTTCAGATGATATCAGTACCTAAACCAGTCATTAGAAGCTAATATTGCACCAGTCAAATTCTGTAAAGGGACAAAAGCATAGCGCATCACTCTTGGAAACACAATGTCTATCCTCAACAACAAAACCATTAAATTAAAATGTAAATCATATGTTTTCCACCCATCTGTGTTGGAGGGCAAAATTACTTGATTACAAAAACAACAGCAATGAAGTCTGGGTTGTTCTCAGGTGCCTTGGAGCAGTTTGTCCCCTTGTTGGAGCTGGTGAACAGGAAACTGCCTTTCGGCCTGGCTGAGATGGGTCTGTGTTTCCAGCACTCAGATGGCTCTGGTTGGTGAGGCTTCATCTGCTGTCTGTCGATGGGGGTATAGATACAGATGTGAAGAAGTTCATTTTTGCACTACGGATTTTCTGCTCCTTTATACTTTTATATAATAATGTTTTGTGAGTTTATGTTAATACCACTTGTATGTTATATGAAGACGAGTGTGTTGATGTAATCAGAGTAACTTATGTCCTTGTTAGGAACTTATGTCCTTGTTAGGAAAAATTCGGTATCTTTAATAAATTTGTTAAATGTTTTACACACACTGTTGCAACGCTAGCAATATGTACATCTCAATCAATATTAATATGAATGTGTAATGAGTATCGATAGATTAGACTCATTGTTTTAGTTATTCTAGCTATTTCCAAAAACAGTGCCTTGTAAAATAATCCAGGTACAATGCAGGGCAGAGTAGACGGCTCAAACTGAAGAGTGTTTAAATTCATGTTTCTTATTACACTTGGTAAACATTTCACTTTATAGATTTGACAGCAGCACATAGCCTACAGTCAACCAAACAAGCCCTTGCTATCATATAATTATTGATTTCAATAATTGTTGCATTTTTGTTTCTGCACACTGTTCATTATTTGACCACTAGAGGGCAAAGTATCCCACTTTTTCTGAGGGGTAAAAAGAGTGGCTGTATTTCACAACAGCGTAGTACTATACTATACTACAACTACAGTTAACATCTAAAACAAGTATGTGTGGTGCTGCTGTAATTATAATGTAAAGGTTATTTTCTGCCAGCCCGGCCGAGGTCACCCAGACATCTCTGGTGTGGTTCTGCTCTCCTCGGACCTCCTCCCAGTGGCTGGATCACTGGACACGACAGAGACTAAAGTGGTGGAGGAAAGTGAGTATTTGAGACAGTGTCTCCCTCACAACATGTTTTTGTTGCTGCAGTAATAACACCTCAGCAAAGAGTTTCCTTGTACATATTTTTAGCTACTGCTTTAGGTGAACTGGCATAGTTGAAGAGGCGTATTTTTGTTACTTAAAGCTACACTCCCTGAACTTCCTTCAAGGCCACCCAAACACCACATTTTCCACCAGAAAGCGGCTGATGTTTTGAAATTTAAGACTTAAGTTTCAAAAATCAACATCTGAGGTGGGAGGTGATTTGGGTGTTTGGTGCAATGACAAAGTCAAAGAGTGTATCTTTAAACTATTACTACATTAAGATAACTTCAGTTACATGAAATCAAGTGAACCCATGTCTTTCCAGTTCGCCCTGTCTCCATCCAACTTCAGCAGTAGTGACGTTCCAGAGGAGGAACTCGAGGGGGCGGCGTCTCGTGGAGTGAGGATCATCTACAGCTTCCCGTGGGGACAGGAGCCCCTGGAGACGCTGTGGAGCAGAGGAGACGCCGAGCTGCTACAAACACACGGAGTCCATTCCAAAATACAGGTCAGCCTGCTGCTTTTATGTAGTGTCTTAATGTGGCTGTTTTCGGATGTGTGCTTTCTGTCTGCTTCCAGTTTCTTCTTTGTCAAACTGCCATTGCTGAAAAATCTCACAGAGGGTATAGAAGCATTGCAGTGGTAATAACAATCTTGCTTGACAGCATCATGATGACACTTTAAGAGAAACTGCATGTGTTAAATGTGAATAAATAAATAAAATCTAGTCAGAAGTGAACATAAATAATGGCTGCATCCTATTTAGTTTTACCACATCCATGGCTCTGCTGTTGTGCAGGATGAGATATATGATGAGAAACATAAGCAGCTATTCACTACTATTGTTGCCTTTCTTCAGTGTTAATTGTCTTTCTAAACATGCTTCAGTGTCAAGATGGCCATAAGGCAGTTCCTCACGTTGTTTCTGTGATTGGGAACATGGACCGTGGTATGATGGCCTTTCTGTCCAACTCGCTTCAGCAGCTCAACAAAGACAACGGCAAGCAGAAGCTGCAGCAGAGAAAGGTGATGACCCACAGCTGTAAAGTAAAGAACAAACTGTCATCAGGAGGGTTATGACTTGATTTTTATTTTCTGGTTCATCGTTGATTTCAGGTTCTGAAGTTACATCCAGTGTTGGCTCCAGTCAAAGTGGCGTTAGACATTGGCAGAGGAGCCACCATGGAGCTGAAGCAGGTAAGAAAGACGTGTATTAACAGTACACATCAATGATTAATCCCCCCCCCCCTTATTAAATCTGTATGAATACACATCTAAAGTCAAGTGCTGTGTAGAAAGGATCTTTCATGTGACTGTGATAGGATTAGCACTACAGTATTTAACTTGTGTAGGCATTAGTCACAGTAGATTAATGAGTATATAAATATTTTGTAGGTTTGTGAAGGGCTGCTGCAGGAGTTCATGGAGTCTAAGATCTCTGCTTGGCCTGGATATCTCGAAACTGCGCAAACATCAATGAATGAAAAGTAAAGCACAATTCTGTGATATGTCTTTGTATTGGGAAGCAGAATTGCTCATTGGGCGCACATTAGTAGTGTTTCTCATGCTGTGGACTGATGTGTCTCTGTGTCGATGAATTGTAGGTATGATGAGATGGGAGTGCTTTTCACTGTGGTGATCAGTGAGAAGACGCTGGAGAGCGGCCTCCTTCAAGTCCGCAGCAGAGACACCACCATCAATGAGACAATGCACATCTCTGAGATCAAGAACTTTCTCTCCAGATACGTTTCTGCTGCAGACAACATCTGAATGGACTTTTTGGTTGGGGAACTAAAAAGGACAGTCTGCCTGTTGTGCTGCCTCAGTTTTGCATCCCTTCCAGATACAAAACTACTATACATCTACAAGTCATGGACTTCCTTTTAAGGAAAATTTCTTGAACAGAGCATTTCATGGAAATTGATCTTTTCCTGAATGACTTTTGGCTGAATGTGACATTATTAATAATTGGATCTTTTATGTGTCGTCTTAAAGGCTAAGAAAGTACTTGTCAATATTTTGGAAGCAGATGTGCATAAGGTTTATGTGCACTTAAAGACTCTCGCTCATCCTACAGCCTCCTCTCAGTACTTCCAAAGCAAAGAGGTGGATAACGCGTCATGTTTTTAGTGCTTGTGATTTAACCTGGTGGTATTTACATTGGAGGAGGATTGGGATAAATGTTTAGTAAATGATTTCTGTCTCAGGTTCTATTAAAATATACAGTCTCCATTGTTTTTGTCACGGTGAGCCTTGTGCTCCATGTAAGTTGTCATAGATTAGTTGACTACTAATGACATGTGTGAATAAGTAAAATATAAATAATAAATAAAAAATATTCTTGACTATGGAAAAACATGTGAGAAAATGAGTTTACCTCCATTAGGCCATTTCCATCATATTTCACATATATATCTTAACTGTATACAACAGGGATTTTGTATTGGAGGGAAATCAGGTAAAATATGCATTTGTAGTTGCACTAGACCAGACATGGTTCCCATAGTAATATTCGGAATATATAATCCTGCATATGGGCTTATTATTGATTTATAGTGGACTGTAATATAAAGCTTTTTGTGGGTTTTGTTCAGTCGATCGCAGTTAATTACAAGTAATGTATTTCTCAGCGGGAATTGTATCAGAGATTTTCCTGCACAGTTCAGTGGAAACGAGAACCTATGAGCTAAATCTCGCGAGGATTGCATGTAGCCTCTCCCTGCGCCGTCATTGGTCCCTAACTGTACTTCGGACTGAGCATGTGTGTCGCTTAGCTGTTAGCATTTACAGATGGCCGCAGACAAGCAAAACGAAGCTAAAGTTTCTGTCATGGACGAAAATAAAGAAAATTCACCGGATGGAGGACTCGGACTGGAAAGTATCCTTCACAGCATTAAGATGTGTAGTAGCGGTTTTGTCTTTGACCCAGTGAATCTGTGTCAGGCTCAGAAGCTACCGTTAGCCTGCTAGCTCAGCTCGGTTAAAGGATAACGTTAGCGTTATTAGGCTACGTGTCATACTCTAGCAGGCTGTCACTGGTTACCGTGAAAAGATTTATTGGCTTGTCACACACTATGTTTTCAAGTCTAAGGAAGTTAAATCAACTAAGACTGTCAGTAAATATGTGTTGATGTAGACATCTTGTTTTGCAGCTATTTTCACAGCTCTACAGTTCAGACCTTCTGGGTCAGTAAAGTTGCATCCACTGCTAACGTGACTGACGTATTCATGCTTGAATTATATGAATGACAAATATTTTCCTGGACTACCATGTTTGTGATGGTATAGATACGTTTATCCCTTAACACTGAGTCGCAGTTTTGCAAATAATCAAGGAGTCCCAGCAGCAGCATGGCCTCAGGCACGGAGACTACCAGAGATACAGGTGAGCTGTGTCCTGTAAAACTGCACCATAGCTGCAGAGATGAGTGATGTTGGACTGTGTTTCTAGGTGTCCATGAGGAGTAACTGTAACCTATTTGTGTAAATTGACACTGAACTTATAAATGTGACGTTTTTTTCCACATTCCTAAAGTATTTACTGTAATGTACTATTACAGTACTTACAGAATTTCCCCTCGGGTATCAAAGTATTTCAGATACTGATTTCTGATTATTTATTTTGGACACCAAATTGTTTTATACATTGAGAAGAAGCTGTAGGCATGGAAACGTCTGATGCCATATGGTTCACATGAGACTGGGCTGGTGTACAAATAACGCTTTGAGCTTTGGAGGGTGAAATACTTTAGTAGGCACACTTGAACAATCTAATGCAATCAAATGCAACACATTTGCCATAAATTTTACCCTAAAGAGACTTATAAGCCTCAGTTTTGTTCACCCCATTGACATACATGAGAGAAAAAATGGCCTCCCAGTATGTTTTACACACATCATTGTCACTACTTCACTGATCTCAAAAGTTTCTCAAATAACAAAACTAAAAGGAGAATAACAGATGTTCCTTAGACAACTTATGACGAGTATTTATTTTTTTACATGTGTGGTGTTATGCTGGAAATGACTTGACTGTGTGGTTGTCAGAGAGAAACCAAGATGAAAATGTACATCTAAGCGTTACTCATTTGCTGCAATGTAACTATCTCTGTGTAACTGTGATTAGGGGCTACTGCTCCCGCAGACTGCGTCGCCTGCGCAAGACTCTTGGCTTCAGGATGGGCAACCGACACAAGTTCATTGGGAAGAAAATAACTGTCGAAATGCTTTCAGACAGCAGGTGAGGAACGGATCATCTGAGCCGGACATTAATGTGCAGTGAACTGGCCAATGTTATAGAACAGCTATATATGCAGCAAATACCAGTTGATTCAGAATAATAAACACATCAAAGAGGAGTTCGAGGTGTGGTGTTCTCTATGTAAGACATGAGACTGCAAATGGTTTGGGTCACGTCACTGCTAAACCACAAACAGATCTTCAAAGATAATTCCTGACTGTGTCGACTTTAGATAGGAATTAAATTATTAAATGTGTCCTCTAAAAATAGTGAAAATATGCAACCAAACAACTGATGCAATGACCTCCCCCTCTTCAGGTATCTGTTGCTGGTTTTGATGGAGGCAGAGCGTGCATGGAGCTACGCCATGCAGCTGAAGCAGGAGGCCAATACAGAGCCACGTAAGCGCTTCCACCTGCTGGCACGACTCCGCAAGGCTGCCAAGCATAGCGAGAAGCTGGAGAAGCTGTGCGAGAGCCCCCGTGTCGACGCCAAGACCAAACTTGAGGCGCAGGTACGCAGACCAGAGTGACCTTCAGCCTGCTTTTAGTGCAGCAATGCGGGTGTAGAGAATAAAGGCCCATTTATACTCCTGCGTAGGGTCTATGTGCATACCTACGCCGTAGACTACGCACGTAGCCGTGCCTTTATACTTGTGCATAGGTGTGTCCGTCATTCTGCAATTACACCCCCAAACGCTAGTCGGCAGTAGCGCTACAGCGTCCACTGTGTTGACTTTTGCCGGCCGAGCAGGCTAACTTCCGGTTTAGCCCTCCGCTAACATAAATGGGGGTAAAATGTATACGTGCGGCTGGTGTAGCCTTTTCCAGTGTTACTGACCGAATGGATGACATTCTGATAGCATGGGTTGCGACGGTCAAATATATTGATTCACTGTGTTACAGCCGCCATTTTGGACGCTATTAAATGTTACTTCAAAGCGCGGGGTGCTTCCGGTCGGCTTGGAGGCATTGCGAGGCTACCCAGCCGACCAATCACAGAGCTTACGGTCCACGTCGACTCGACGTGTAGTTACATTTTTGAGGAGGTGCACGTCAGGCGACGGCGTAGCCTCTGCGTAGTCCCGTAGCCCACGCTGTCGATTTGACTCAGAAGTATAAATTGCACTTAAGGGGTATCATGTACAATGAGATTGCAACCTCAAATGTCCAAAATTTGTTCTGAACCATACTCACATTGTCCCTCAACTCTGTACCATTTGTTGATGGTCGCTTGTTACCACATGTCAACCAAAATAACTCACATTGTTGATACAGAATTTATTATTTAAAGTTGTGTCACTATAAATATAATAAATCATATGTGTGTTGAGGAACACACATATGATTTATTCTTCTTTTAACAACAGCTTTTAATCAATGTGTTTTTATTTCAGGCCTACACTGCATACCTGACTGGTATGGTGGAGTTCGAACTGCAGGAGTGGAAGCTTGCCATGGAGGCCTTCAACAAGTGCAAGTGAGTTTTAACATCACTGCAGTTTCTTAATACATTGGCACAATAAGTGGAAGCATTTTTATAAACGTTGGGAAATATTAAATGATTTTTGTCCTGTAAGGACCATCTATGAGAAGCTGGCCAGTGCATTCACTGAAGAGCTAGCAGTTCTGTATCGCCAGCGTGTGGATGAGATATCACCAAACATCCGCTACTGTGCTTACAACATTGGTGAGTAGCACGCACACATACACATGAGGGAAAACCGTTCCCTTCAACATAATTGACAGCCATCTTAGACCTGTGTAGGCATCCTGACATATTGTTCTCAAACTGCACCCCCCACCCCCCAAATGTGATTGCAGGCGACCAGAACGCCATTAATGACTTGATGCAGATGAGACTGACTGGTGGAGGTGGAGGCATGATGGCTGAGAAACTTGAGGTGAACATATAGGAGTTAGACATTCGTTTATATGCTTGCATCCTAAAATGAAATCCGAAAATGTCTTTGCTCATCAGGAAATTAACAATTTTTTTTCCTCCTTAGGCCCTGATCACTCAGGCAAGAACGAAGCAGGCAGCCACCATGAGTGAGGTAGAGTGGCGAGGACGGACTGTGCCCGTCAAGATCGACAAGGCCCGCATCTTCCTGTTGGGTTTGGCAGACAATGAGGCCGCGATCGCTCAGGTCAATATTTTGTCAGTTTCTGCTCTGTAACAGATAAAAACAAACTTCACCGCCGTTGTTGTTAGCTGCTCTTGAAAGCGTTAAGTGCCAGCGCTTGGTGTCCCTGTTGCCTAGTGGTCTTTCTCTCCAGATGCTGCCCAAAACACGTGACTGTGCAGACCACACGTGTGAACACGTCCGTCAATACAGACACCCAGTTTAGTATAAAGAGGACCTGTACGCTTCCCCTCTGTGCCTGAACATCCGTGTAATCGCAACCGCCCCGGTTCAGTTGTTGCATGTCACTCGCTCTCACCCCTCTGGTCACATTTCCTGTCTGTGTCTCTACTGCCAAAGTATTTATTTAAATTCTTGCTACACAGTTTACTAAGGTTTTTTATTTCCACTACACATTGTGGTCTCAGAATGCTTCATTCTTACCTAATTAGTCTCAGTGTAGTCTTAAACTCTAGCCGCATCAGAAGGCAAACCAGTGACAAATTATATATCAATCCCAGCACTCAACACTATGATGGGATATCTGGGGATGACAGTATTTTATTTCTTGTTCTGAATCACAAAAATGATCCCTGTGTTCAAATGTCCCATTTTAACTGGATGTTTGTAAATGCAGTGCCCTTTTTAAAGCTTGTTGTTTTTATTTAAAGCAAGTGTTATACTTCCTGTGTCGAGGGGCCGCTAGCGTCTGTGTAATTGGGGGGGGGGGGGGGGGTGTCATCAGAGGGTGTACGCCTAGGCTCTGCGTGTGCCTCCTCTTTTTTGTGACTGCGTGGACAAGTTCACTACTCAAACAGGGTACCAACTGATCCACTGCGCGTGGAACGAGTCCGCCAAGCTGACACCAGAATATAGTATAAACAGAAGTAGTTTGCATCTGTTGTGTACGCAGCGGTCCTTGTATGCGTCCACTTTGAAGTATATTCGAGTGATTAAGGCACTTGTTCCTCAGTTCATCACAGCTCCATGTGCTACCCCATGTCCTTAGCTACTCTACGTGTGTGTGTGTGTGTGTGTGTGTGTACACCTTTCTGGCATTAGGTGTCACTTACACTCTGCAAGAGTGATTCAGATGAAAACAGTCAAAATGGCCATATGGCCTAAGTTTGAGAAAAGCAAATCTTCCTTACGAAAGTCTATGCAGTTCTTTAAACTTCCGGTAGGTTGCACTGTCCTCTTTACAGTGTTGCATGTCCCTGCACAGCCACCACATCTCATTCCTCCTGCTTTCTGATGCCCAAGAAAGCCAGAAGGCTTAGCACACCCTGCAGACACACCTGTCACACCCACAGCCACTCTGGTATCTGGCATGCAGCCTCTGTCATCGTACGACTGCATTCTGTGCATTTCAGCCCACACATGAACACAGGACTACACCCTGCAGGGCACTGTGGACAGATGAGTATTATCATATCTAAACACCTTTCAGTGAGTACTCAGAGAGTCGGAGTATGTCGCACCAACACCTTAAGATTTGCTGTGTGTTACAGTACACCTGTTCTCAGCTCTTGGCCTCTGGGGACAGGAAATACTGTATTGGGGCATCCATTCATAGTGCTAGTAGAAGAACTGATTCCTCCTCTAATCAGTTTATCGGTGCAGCCCTCCCTTTGAACAACAGAAAGATGCTCGACAGGTTGAGCCAGTCGTGCTAGGCGTTGCCACAGTGTTGGCACACGTGTGTCACAAAATAACATCAGTCTTGTAGGTGTATGAGCTGTTTATTCTCAGTAGTTACTAACATTTCTCCACTGTGTCGCTAATTAAGGGGTTTTTTCCCCCTTTTTTAAAGGTGAAGATGTGACGTCCTCAAAGGAGTGTAAAACAAAACACACTGTATCAACGTTTCTTCTGCTGTTAATCGCTTACACTTTGCCGCTTATAGTAATCAAGCACGGCCTCTTTCTTTAAATATGAACATAATGTGTCCTGTAGACCTATATATTATTATTATAGAGTATATTGTAGTAACGCATACCTATTGGATGAGTGTGTCGATGACGGATAGGTGAGGTGGAGAACAATCCTGTCATTCACAAAGATTTGGACCGTGAAACTCCACAGTGTCAGATTGCTGATGAGTTGTGTGCAGGAATGCATCCACATCTTGCTGTGCCACATACCTTCACCTCGCCCCCAGTTTGTCACACTCACGTCCATTCTCAAACTGTTACTCTTTGTAACAAAGTTATTACATTTTTGTGTTCGCATGATTGAGCTTTGTAAGTGCAACTGTAGCTTTTAATTTGGTGGACTGTATGTGTCTGAGTTTGGATGTTGAAGCCAGTGTTTCTACATTTTGTTTTCTTGTAGTTTTATGTTCTTTTTAAAGATGGTTCACAATAGGGGTGTACAAACCAAATTTGTACAGGCTACAGCTCAGGTTTTCCAAGTTTACAACGAGCTCTCAAGTCTTCCCCTTCCAAATTCCTCTTTGTCAAGCCCTTTGACATAGTTTCATGATTAAGTTTTCTTCCTTTAATCTTTCTTCCCCTATTATCGTTTTATATCTGTGCTATAATTCCAAGTAGACGAAAAATAGGGCACTAATTTTACCATACGTTTTATTAGACCACATGTGGATTAGTATCCGTGATGATACAGACCTACAGTTTTCTGTTCTGCTTAGTTTGTTTGCTGTATCTACTGCTGGTGCATAAACCAACTTTTACTGCTGATACTACACCATTACTTCCTGCATGTGCTTCATAATGGATACTTTTTAGTGTACAGGCAATATCGTCCTTTTACTATTAAGTGTTAACAGTGATATTCATGGTTAGTGGCTAACGCAGACTGATGTTTCAAGTTTAAAAGCTCAGTGCTACTGGTAAATGTTGCAGTTCGAAATAGTCACTGTGTCCCTCTGTAGATCTTAATTAGTGTTTTTATTGTGCAGGCATCAAACGAGGAGACCAAAGAGCATCTGTATGAAACCCTGCTGGCCGAGTGCAGAGACACCATCCAGGCTGTCAGAGAGGAACTCAAGAGTGAGGCGGTAAGATATGACTGGTTTAAAAAGTTCACGCATGTCGGTGAAGGAGAACAAAGTGAGTTTAGCCAAGGCCGGAAGCTTTTTGTGTTGTTTTTGTGTTGTCCGTCGCACAGTAGAATGCAGTACCTCAGGAATGCCTTGAGAGAATTTCTTCAAATGTGGCACAAACATCCACTTGGACTCAAGGATGAACTGATTAGAATTTGGTCACAAACCACATTTATAGCCATAACTTAAGAACTGATGATCATATTACACAGCTTTTCGAACACTGAAAAGGTGACACGTTGGATTCAAAGGTCTTTGTGAAAATAGGTTCTGAATTTTGAGCTTCATCAGAATTTCAAGTTTCATCGGAATCGCTTCACTGCAAACAATGTGTCAGAGTGCATAGCTAATTGTGAGTGAGTATCGCCTACAGCTCATAGAGAGGCTTTGCTTCTATATATATCTAATACCAGGAGAAAACAGAAGCACCACATTTAGTGTAACTATACTCTATAAGCTTGTATCTTAAGTAATGAAGTACATGTCTACCTGTTTAGCCAATGCACCTATGATAATCCTTCATTAATCAGTTCAACAGTATATATTCACTGGAATCATTCATCATCAGTATAGTGTTTTATTTGCTGCATGTATTATGAGTAGGGTTGGGTATCGTTTAAAATTTACAACACCAGTACTAAAACCAGTACCCTTAAAGTCATCCGATACCAATAGAGTACTTCATTTGATACCTTGCATAAAATGGCACCTGTGGAAGCCATAGTAGTTGATTGGTTGCCTATTATTATTTTTATTGATGTTATGGACAAGCAAGGTTATCTGTTTTATTTTTTTATTGTTTCAAATAACTGTAATAAAATTGGAAATTGTATGAGATCGCTCCTCAACCTAATTAATTCATCCTCACAGGTATAAGACTACAGCTTGCGATTTTTTTTATATTTGAATGAGAGAGGAGTGAAATAGTTTAGTGATAAGAAGAATTTAAAGTATTTTTTGATACGTGTTGAAAGTAAACAACAGAAAATTATTTTAACTTTCGATCAATAAACTGAAGTGAAAGATCTCCGAGTGCTTTTTCCTTTATGGGTGAGTCGTAAACCTCCAAAAATTACAGTCACAAGTATAAAACGAGTAAGGAGTCTGTTTAAACAAGTCACTTAACTACACTAAAGAAGCAAACAGAGGAAAACGGAGCACGTCCAGCCGATCAAACCAGCAACACCTGAAGCAGCTGCAGCCGGAGGCTCTCTGAGTAAATCAGCTGATCGCTGCTGTGCCACAAAAGCGCTGTAATGGAACGCAGCGATCGATCAGTGACAAGTGATGTAAATGGCAAAAAATGTACAGAGAAGTGTTGAATGATACCAGAAAAAGAAACCAACGGAAAGACAAGCTCGTGGTGGTAAACTTGCAACAGTGACGAACGCATGGACACGATGCATGCAGGCTCCTTTTTTTTTTTTTTTTTTTTTTTTTTTTTTTTTTTTAAATACAGTCTATGGTGCTGGCGTAGAAGAGGGGAAAAAAGGCGTGATCTTCTTTCTTTCGGTGTGTAGCTTGCGTGTTTGGCTGTAAGAAAAACCATACATTTTATTTATTTATTTTTGACGCAATCTGGCTACAAAATATCAAATGAAGTCTTGTTTTGACTGGAGACGTTTCGATTCTACTCGATACTGGGCTGTTTCTGTTGATATCATAAAGGTATTGAGTAGCGATACACATCCCTAATTATGAGTCTGGATAAACATGGATTTAAAGTACAACTTGACAGGCATACAGCAGCAGGGCAGTAAACCTAGTTATTTATGACCTAGATGTTTGGTATTGGGTCTGTCATCACTTGAAGTTACAGCTTACTTACTAAGAGTGTGTGTGACGTTAAAACAGGAATTTGAAAACATTTCTGTTAAATATTGCTTGTCTTTGTAGAAGCAACGAGACAGGAGCTCTGATGGCGACAATGGCAAGGTGTCAAACATGCAGTTCCTGCACAGGTAAAAGAAACAGTCAAGACAGTTACTTGTGCTTGTAAATGCCTGAATCAGACGTAACATATCTTTCTCTTTATGTGTCAGATTAGACTGTCATTATCTGTGGCTGCAACTAATGAGTGTTTTCATTATTGATTTTTTCCGTCAATTATTTTCTTGTTTTGTCTGTAAGTTATCAGAAAATTGATTTCCCAGAGCCGAGGTGGCCTCTTCAGATTCCTTGTTGTTTGTTCCGACCAAGTATCATATTTTACAAAGAAAAGCCACAAATCCCCACAGTTAGAAGCTGAAATGTTACATTGTGAAAAAAATGTGCTGTTCCTCCCCCAGTTACCTGACCTACATCAAGCTGTGCACACTGGTGAAGAGGAACGAGAGCATGGCCGACACTCTGCAGGCTAAACTGAAGGAACCCGAAGCCGACGAGAACAAGAGGGGACCCCGTCCACAGGACCTCATCCGCCTCTACGACATCATCTTGCAGGTAAATGTCTTAACATCAAATATATCTTTTTAATCGTAAGGTTCCGTATGTGTGGAGGGGTTGTTGATGGAAATGTTTTCTAAGCTCAAAACATGATAAAGCAAAGTTCACTGCTTTATTTTCCTATAAAGAATTGTCCATAATAGCAGCATGTATTTCAGTTGGTGTAATCAATTAAATCAGTTCTTAGTTTTTACTCACTGAAGCTGTGTGATGTTTGTTATGTGTTGTCATAAGTGAAGGGATGTGTACTTGGCCTTATTGGACTGTCACTTCCTTCTCACAGTGCAGTTCGCCATCTGTCTCTCCCATCACCTCCCTATCCTCCCTCTGTTCTTTAGAGTCTGGCTGAGCTCTCCACCCTGCAGGGTCTGGAGGACGACCACACTTTCCAGAAGGAGGTGTCCCTCAAGACGTTGGTCTACAAGGCCTACAGGTCAGACGTCTTTGGTTTAAATGCTTTACCTGCACCTCCTACTCAAAAATCCAACTTAGAAAAAGTTGAAACTGAGAAATGCAATTGTTGTTTGAGACTTATATTCCCATTTTGAATTTGATGCCAGCCAACCTTTTTAAATACAGTGTTGTAAATTCAAAAAGTGTCTTCTGGATATATTTGCCAATGTTCAACACTGCCATATTGATAGCATGACATCAAGTGTATTCGCTCTTTCAGTTGCTGACTTTAGACTTATCTGAAAACAGAGTGTCTTCATGTCTTATTTCTAATAATAAAAACAGTTTCATGAATACATTTATTTTTTTATACATAAACGCACACGCTTATCTTTCCCTCTGTGCTCCTCAGGTGTTTCTTCATAGCCCAGTCTTATGTGCTGGTGAAGAAGTGGAGTGAGGCGCTGGTGCTGTATGAGAGGGTGCTGAAATACGCCAAGGAGGTCCAGTCTAAGGCCAAGAGCCTCAACAACATTCTCAAGGTTGGTCACAACAAAAAAATTTATTAATAAATTGACTACTTGGGGCTGGAATCTCTCAGTAACACAAAGATTTAATGTACAATCCATCATGAAAAGGTCTCCTTACACACATGTTGAGCAACAAAAAGGAAACGCACTCCATAGAGTAGGGAGGGGTACCTAAACCCGGTATTAAATGGACTCTGGGGCTAAATTATTTAAGGCCATGGTGTGGATAAGGTCCGACGTTACCAGTTCTCTGTACTCTCGTTTTGGGGTAATATCACACTGCAGCATCTGACCAGAGGGGGCTGTACTACAAAGGAAGATTAATGACTTAGCAAAGTATGTTTGAGCCTAAAGCCAGATATTTTAATTTCACAAAGGTGGCTTTCTGTTAACCTGGCTAGATCGCCATGGTGCGCACCTAACCTGCTCCAGAGGAGCTTATGTGCAGAGTTTTGGGGTTTAAATCAAATTAGGCTTAAAAAGCACTAATTCTGAGCAATATACAGTCGCAGGAAAAACTATGTGAACCCTTAGAATTACCTGCATTTCTGCATAAATTGGTCATAAAAAGTGACTTGATTTTCTTCTAAGTCACAACAATAGACAGTCTGCTTAAACTAATACCGCACAATTATGTTTTATTGAATTTTATTTTATTGCCACTCCAGAAGGTGTATTTTCTTCTGCTGAAGCCATTCTGTTCATTTACTTCTGTGTTTGTGTCGTCATCCTGTTGCATCACCCATCTTCTGTGGAGCTTCAATTAATGGACAGATGGCCTTACAATCTCCTGCAAAATTTCTTGATAAACTTTGGAATTCATTTTTACATCAATGATTGCAGCCCTTCCAGGACTTAACTACACTAAAGAAGCTTCCAAGCAGCAAAGAAGCCCCAAACCATGATTACCCTCCACCATACCTCACAGTTGGGGTGAGGTTTTGCCTCATCAACCTCCATTGAGTATTCTGCTCTGTGCTGGTGCAGTCATCTTTGCAGGACAGCCACTCATAAGGAGAGTAGCAACAGTGCTTAACTTTTTCGATTTTATAGAAGTTTTTCTTACTGTGGACTGATGGACATCAAGGCTTTTAGAGATACTTTTGTAACCCTTTCCAGCTTCATGCAAGTCAACAATGCTTAATCCTAGGTCTTCTGGAAGCTCTTTTGTTCGAGGCATGGTTCACATCAGGCAATGCTTCATGGGAATAGCAAAATTAAGATTGATGCTTTTTTTTATATATCTAACCAACACCTCTAATCTTGTCTCATTGATTGGACTTCTGACCAGTTAGTTTTTGGAGAAGTCAGTAGCCTTGAGGTTAACATACTTTTTCCACCCTGAGCTGTGACTGTTTACGCAGTGTGTTCAATAAAAACATTAAAACATATAATTGTTTGTGTAGTATTAGTTGTAAGCCGACTGTGTTTGTCTATTGTTGTGACTTAGATAAAAATCAGATAACATTTTACGACCAATTTATGCATAAACGCAGGTAATTCCAAAGGATTCACATACTTTTTCCTGCAACTGTAGATTTTTCACTTAACTAAGCCGTGTAATTACAGTAGCGCAAACAGTATGCGATGCATTGCCAAGGGAATCTTGCGTGCATTGTTAGAAATGCAGAAAATATTTTTTTCTGTTTGCTTTCAATTTTACACAGCAATATTATCCATACACTAAAGAATAATGAAGGCCCAGCAACTACTGAGACACTTTGCTGCTAATGGATCACAGATTGGAAAATTCATTAGTCTATGTGGATTTATCACAGATAATATTAAATAAATAAAATTAATTTCACTTTTGTTTGGCCAAATATTAAAGTGACTTCCGTGTATTCTTCATTATGGGAAGTTAAAATTCATCTGTCTGAAACAACATTTAGTTCTTTTTAAAATATTCAGTTCTACTCCTGTTCAGAATTTATTCTTTTTCTAAAAAACATTTTTATTTATTAATGAAAAGCATCTGATTCAGAGTATCAGTAAGAGTAGCCCTGAATGATTTTGCAGTCAGTCGTCTTTTTGACAGTTTACCAACATCGGTACATCACTGTTGTGTGTCCTGTTTCTGCAGGATCTGCCTGACGTTCAGGAGCTCATTGCTGAGGTCAACGCTGAAAAATATTCTCTTCAAGCTGCTGCCATTTTAGGTGAGAGCCCTTTTTGAACTGACTGCTTTCTAGCCAGCTCAAGAACCCATTTAGTCCCATTTTGTTCTGTTCTGCCTGGATCTGGGTTCAACCCTTAGCAAATGTTTTGTATTTCAGACACTGACGAGACCGCTGAAGTTCCTTCTCAGCAGCAGGTGAAAGATAACACGGTGAGTCAGCTTACAGAGAAAACAACTCTTAAACTGGATGGAGTTATTGTAAACATGCAGTAATCTGTGATTAAATAATGCTCACTTTTTTTATTTCTTCCTCATGTAGCCCCTCTGCAACCGCCTGGAGACCTTCCGCCTTGACCCCGCCCTCGTGGGAAAGCAGCCCAATCTGGTCCAGTTCCCTCCTGACTTCCAGCCAATCCCCTGCAAACCCCTGTTCTTTGACCTTGCTCTCAACCATGTGGCCTTCCCGCCGCTGGATGACAAGGTGGAGCAGAAGGGCAAGGGCGGTCTTACCGGCTATATCAAGGGCATCTTTGGCTTTGGCAGCTAAATCGGTCCACAGGTTTTGGTCTCCACAGGGTAGCCACGAGACCCCGGGTTTACCATGAAAAACCAGGCTTGGGTCGGTTGTTAATTAGAATAATTTCAGTTGCTTTTTTGTTTTGGTTTTTAGTGCCTAAGTGCAAGATGGATATGTTTGCAGTTCTGAGGAAGCCAGTTGGAGTCTAATCTTCCATGGAAGACTATGAAAGAGTCAATCAATTGAATCAATTTCAAGTAGCAATATGACCCAAGTCGACCTGCCACCTTTTAGTAATCACCCGTTTGCATGGGTTTGAGCTTTGGCGGTGTCTTTCAAGTTTTGCAGGTTACAATGCTATGGTCTTAAGTACAGCCAAGTTGTCAATCTCTCTATCCTGTGAGAGTAGCCACTTAGCACCAGTAGTAGTTAGTCATTTTTATTTTAGTGTTATATAAGCGCCTTGACAAATGTTTTCAGGATCGTTTCTAAAACATAAAATTTACAAAGTGCAGTTTTGTTTTGACAACTTCTTTGACTTAAAAAAGCTGGTGGTACTCATCCGATACCACAAATTTCCTGTCACCTGTAGTCGGACAAACTGAAGCTGTTCGATCAATCATCATAAAAAAAGATGTAAGCTCTGTCCCATTTCTTGCAGTAACCTTTGCTCTGGTTGTTCCTCCAATTGACTGTGTATTAAGACACCAATTCAGAACTTCACATGTTGACCGATCAGGCCACCACTGCACCCATAAGGCCTTGCAGACAACTCTCCAGGCTGGCAACGCAGCATTAAACTGCATTAAACCTTTTTGTTGCCCGTCTTTTGTAAGTGGCTTGTGATGTGTACAAGTTATGTGAACAGGGATGTAACCGAATGGAGGAAGGCTGAATTAAGAATCGGGATAAAGCTTGAAAGTTTTAGGTGCATAAGTCTGTGTCAGCTGCAGTCTACACAGGTCATATTGCATATGTTGCCGCATATGAAGTTTGGCACTACACTTACCATCACGATGGAGACGAGTCCCACAGCGTCAGCTCGTCTAGATGGAAGCGCAATCCTGAGGTGGGAAATAATTGCAAGTGCAGCTAATGAGACTAATTAATTCCTGTAATGTTTTTATTAACAATTTTGTTTAATTTTTCAAATCAAAGTCAGATTGCAGTAGCCACTAAGGACTTAAGAGTTTTTAGCACCTTTCATTCATCATACCACCACACGTGATTGTCCGTCATGAGCTAGACTAAAATGTTTTCATCACCGGTGACGTGTAACTGTAATGCTAAAAAAAAATCTTTTATCAGCTGCTGTTTACCAGTCATAATGTCCACACCAAAGCCGCTCCTTTCCTCTGATCCTTAAGGGACCTGGTTTGCCTGTGATACCTGATGTCTGTGTCACCCACCTTCTCGTATATTTAACTGTTTTGCTCAATAATTTTTATCCATGTCTTTTTGTTTTTAATTTTCTTTTTTTCATTTGCTCTTCAATATTTTATGTTAAAGAATTAAGATGGACGTGCTGGAATAGCCCCAGCACTTTACCTTGATTAGCCTGGAAAACCATTAGTCCTGATCAGTAATTGTTGGAAAAATCAACAGAGAGAGAGAGAAAATGAAATGAGAATGTATAATTTGATTTAATTTCCAGGCCTTTAATTAAATATGTTTGAACCAAACGCTGTTTTCTTTTTCTGTGGAAAATCCTGTGACATTAATTTAAACTGATTCAAAGATTCCTGTGATTGGGTATTATTGTTATGTAACCTTTAGAATTACTATAAACTCAAACCCCTCGTGTTTTAATGTAAGTAAAAGGTAAAATTCTGAACGAACGAAAGGTGTGCGATTGTATTGTTTTGGGTGTGTCAGGGGTGCGTAGGATGCCTTAGCAGGGTGTGAATGTGTTTAGGTTTGGTTTGTGTATGCCCATTTTCACAAATAATTACATAGGTGTGTTTGTTCCTCAAACACATCTGGCCTTGCAAACTTTTCCCCTACATTTTAACATTAGTCACATGTATATTTATTTAAATTAATCAGTTCAGTTTTTATTGCCAGGTATGTGTACACATACAAGTTATTTGACTCAGGATTGTACAATGCTCATGATGTGCTTACTTGTACAATAATACCACAACACAATAATAATAATAATAATAAAATAAAATCAGACAAACTACAGTATAGACAACACTAATATACACACTGAACAAAACAATATAGACATATTGACAAATAGTGCAGTGATCAGAGTGCAAAGGATGCAAGAGTAAACTATTCTCATTATGTACATGTTGAAGGTGGAGATGATATACAGGTACACATACATGCATGCATGTACATGTACACAGTGTGATGGAACATAGTGCAAAGGATGCTGGAGACCTATGACCTTATGACCTGAGGTAGGTGTATTGGTATACAGTATATACAATATGACAGTATGAACAGCACTGAAATAGAGAATGGTGAATAAATAAGTGGAAACCAGTAAACAGGTGGCTGAATTGACTGCTCATTCCCCCTTGCACATTTCTGCCTGAAATCATATCTGCCGCGTCCCCTCACTCTCCTCTACTCACATTCCTTTGTCACTCCAGGAGCACACAGGCCTGTGCTCTGCCTGGATGGACTGAAGTGAAGTGGACAAATGTTCCTTGATGAGGTGGAGATAAAGATAAGACACAGTTTGGCTAATTGTGCTTGCTGTTTTCAAATTTCTATAAATCTGTTTATTTGCATTATGTCACTTTTATTTTGCAGATAAAGAGATTAAAGATGTGGAGGATACAAAAATACATATTTAATACACGCAGATATCTTTGTTTTGGTACTGCACCGTACAAGTGAGAAGAGAAAAGTTCCAAGGTACAGTAAGAGCATCAAAGCTTTGTAAGACATCAGATGTAAAGCAGACAACCATGCTGTTTGTCTGCTGTGTGTAGTCTAGTGAAGAAAAGTGACACACCCTTGCTGCTTCCACCTTTTGTTGGTTCCTCAGTTCAACTGTCAGGAATGGCAGGCATGCAGACAAAAGCCCTGCCATGTCTATGTTGCCCTGCAAGGAATAAAAAATAAGTGTTACTGATGGCTTTTCAGTCACAGGAGGGTTTGACCTCCAGTGATATCTCTGATCTTTAACACCCAGAGGGACCAGAGTGCAGCATTAGATCTTGATTTACAGCCGTTTCTGTGTAGTCACTCCTGTTTTCTCTTTCTTTCTGTCTATCCTTTCTGAGCCATGTTAGCAGCGTGGCTCCATGGATAGCAATCTTGGTCAGTTGGCCTACTTTGGTCCGGACAAATATCACAATAACTAACAGAAGGATTGCCATGAACTTTTATACAGATGTTCATAGTCCTGAGAGGACAAGTCCTAATCTATGGCCACCAAAGGTTAACATTTTATTTTTTCAGTAAAATGTCTCGACAACTATTGGACAGATTTCCATGAACATGAATTCATGTTCCCCTGAGGAAGAATTGTAATAACTGACCTCTTTACGACCAAATACCTAAACTAATTCCCCATCAGCCTCAGGTGTGCATGCACGCTAGCATGCTGATGGTAGCATTTAGCCAATGTAAATTTCCATTGGCTTGTGATGAATAAAGTTGTTCTGATTTCTTTCGACATAATTGAAGCATTTCTCATTCCCTCTTTTTTTCCCTAATTCCTGGATATTTGGACACATTGCTCCAGGAATTTGAACCAGTATATTTTAGATCCAGAAGAGGAAGACCCCACAAAAGAAAGCATATGTAGTCGGTAATTTATTACCACCAAACCATTTTAAAGTTGAGATGAATGAGATGAAAGGTCATTCTTGACCTTGGAAACAATATTTAATCAAACAATCTTACCACAAAGTAATTTTCATAGCTGTTTGGGAACTTTCAATCGTATGGCAGGATGGTAAGAACTTTGCCAAGTTGTCAAGTAATTGCAGATGTTCAAATTTCCATTTTTTTGAGCACTTTACTTTTTGACCAGTTTGGCTTGAACATTAAGATTAAAGGTTTATTTTTTGCTCTGGAAACCGCAGTTGATGAAGTAATCTAACCACAAAGTCCATTAGGTAGCTGTTCTGGAGCTATAACATTTTTTTTATCATTGAGATTGGATCTCAACTTTCTTATAAAGTGCTCAGAAAAATGGAAATTTAACTGGGCAAATTCCCTCTGCCAAGGAAGGGTTAGTTCATGTGTTTTTGACCTTGTGGTGAGATTTTTTGGTCAGTCATTTTAACGTTATTTTTGGCGTTAAAACAGGATCCATACAAAGCAGGTTCTCCCAGGTCTTGCCCAAAATATTTCACCTTGAAATGGAAAATGCATCATCACAACATTTGCTTGTTCACAGTGGGGTTGATCAATTTAGAAATTGAAGGTTAAAATATTAAAACAGTGTCGTTTTTAGGAGCTATGAATGAAACCACATCTATCTCTGAGCAACAGAAAGAGTATCTGTTTATCCAAACAGGTGGACGCACCCACACAGTTAAGACTGTATGACTGGACTGATCAAAAACATGCTTTCTCTGTGCTGTTCCCTACTCTGCTGCAAAGAAAGCTACCCAGCTGCATTCCTCACCATCATTCCCTTTTGTTGATATGCTGCAGAGAGACGCCCGGATCCTGAATAACTCGCATGTCTGTAGATGCTATGATACTCTGCAACATATGGAGCCGTCTTTAATCGTTAACGTCATGACAAGTGCCTCTAATATAAAGGTTTCATGTAAATCACTTCTTCTCTGGTTTACAGGTTAAGACAGAGATAATAGAGTTAATCATAGAGTTAATCTGAACACAGTGTCGGGTGTGAACAGAGAAAGTCAAAATAAAAGGAACCTCCTAGTTTTAAATCTTGAAAATCTCTAAGTTGTAAATCAATATTAAAATAAGTATGGGATAGGGAAAAAGTAAGACATTCTTTCTGGGGAGACTGTGTGCTCATATAATGGTGTATGTTGCAAGGGGTGTTCATCTACAGAAACAAAACCACCCCTGTTTTTAATTTAGTTGTACACGTAAAAAGTGATAATTTGAGAAAATTTGAGAGAGGATCCTTCACAGTCTTCTTCTTTGATGCAGTTCATAGGAGGAAAGCATGATTGTCTGGTTGTATTTTTATAAAAAGATTTTAAAAAATTAAACCAGCTTTTTACTCACATTCCAACTGTGTATGAAATATCATACAAATTCATCGGTTAATTTCAGAGATACAGTGTATTGCTTACCTCCTTGATGGAAGTAAAAATTGGTTTTCTAATCAGTCCCCTACACAGTGAAATGACAGGTATTATAATGTACCTGTCTTTAAATTGTTTAATTGTGCAGCGCTTTTTTAAATAATAATTTCTGCCTTTATCACAGTAGTGACATGACAGGAAAGTAGCTGAGATGTGGACATGCAACAAAGCAGATTTGGCATCACAACTCCCTGCAGGATATTCATTGTCCCTCCAGATCCATGAATTATGCATCCACTTTAATTCAATGGCCCCTCGCTCGCTGTGAGAGATTTGACAGTGTGTTGCGTCCCCAATGAAAAGGAAGGACAAGGCCGAAGGTGGAAGGAAAGGCAAATGCGGGGAACAGGTCGGTCCGGTCTTCCTCTACAAGGTGGATGACTGGGCGGTGACACACCGGTTAACCTGTCTGGGAGGAGCTGCTGACGTGAGTGTGTGTGTGTGTGTGTGTGTGTTTGAGTGTGTTTGAGAGGAGCCAAAGGGAGAGGAGAGACAGAGTGGGAGCCACAGGGTGAGGAAGACTGAGACGAAGAAGGAGTAGAGAGCACAGAGTGAGATTTTTGTGGGATCTCTAAGTGACCTCCCCTCCACGACCTCCAGGATGTTTAAGAAAAAGGATAGTACGCTCAAAGGCACGAGCAAGAGCAGCACGTGAGTTTTTGGTTCCCCAAGGACTTTATGAATGTATGCGTATGGTGACACTATCTCGGCCATGTCCCCCCCTTCCTGTTCTTCCCCGAGTCGAGAACTGTGTCATGTTTCATGTGCGTGCTGTTGTCCTCTTTTTCTCTGTTGTTTTTCACCTCCAGTTACATGATGGTTGGGGTAGAAAAAAATGTTTAAGGCAAGCTTGCTCAGGATATTTGTTCACTGAGTTATGTCAAAGTTAGTCCTCAGGGATGGTGAATGCTTTGTGAGATGTTTGCCAGCCTGTTAACAGGGCCAAGAGGTCCGGTTTACTTTGTAAACATGAGGTGAGGAAAGCGTGCTTTGAGGCTACAGGTGGAACTAGTGGAAATGCGTTTTTGACAAGAAGTCAAAGTCACACAAAGGAAAAACATCAGTTCTTTCCAACATGCTTCTCAGGCACCCAAACCTGCTAAAAGTTGACTTTATGTGCCAGTTTTCCTCAAACATGAGCCAAGATTTAGACTTTTGATGGCTAGCACAACATTGCTGTTTGGAAAGAAAAACCTTTGCGTGATAATTTCAGTGTCAGGAGATGATCCGACAGCTGGGATTTACCCAGGATGTCCTGTGTCCCGTCTGGCCCGGCTGCTGTTGAGGAAATATGTGTCACTAATACAGAACATGTTTCAAAATAGTACTTCATCTGGAGGTAGAAGGCTGCTTGCAACTCGATTAAGAAGAAACATAAGATTTTAAATGTTCTGAAAAAGCTTTATTGGATGTGTAATATGTGAAATGTTCACTCCTTTTTCATGCATTAAACACAGTGCGGAGCCAAATGATCAGTCAGTGTATCCGCCTCAAATTTGCTAAATATGAAAAGAAATCTCCCGGGTTTCTGATCTTACTGCAGGTAAAGAGGTGATGATGAATTGATTTAACTCGTA